AAACAAGGTTTTCGGTAAAAAGAAGTTCTCACTTGTAAGATGTACATCACCTGCTCTGCATTCACAGAAGTCTCTGTAGACACATTTCAGTATGAGTCAGTAATGCATAAGCACAATAATTTGACAAGAGCCAAATTCAAACTGTCTGCTGAGAAATGCAATTTTATGTGAAGAAACACATGCATTTATGACACAGAGAAACTAATATCTCTAGCACCAGAAGTATTTAGCAAGGCAGCACCTTCTCAATATTCCAATATTTCAATTTCAATGCATTTTCAGCTCTGTTCTTTCCTTTTTCTCTCAGCAACATAAACAATCAGGAAGGATTAAAAAAAGAAAATATTGTTGACAGAAACCATTTTCATGACCACTTTCCTCATCTCTTTCTACACTAGTGTATATAGGACATTTTTTCCTCTCTTCATTTTTCTCTATCAAGACTTTTCCATGAAGTTTTGGGGTTTGGAACAGCTCCACCCTATTTTCTTACCACTTAATCCCCATTTCTTTTTATATCACAAGCCATCTATTCCCTTTACACACATAAAGGCCATTGCTGATACTTGAGAGGCAGCTACACAGATCCTGTTGTTTTCATTATCTAAACCTATTTAATCATCTAAACCCTGAGCTTTGTTAATGTCCCCTACTGAAAATTCCTCAAGAAAAAGGAGAGATTTTAAGTAAACCAGTAGTGGGCTTCCATTATCAAGAGCAACTCAAAATCGGAGGTCTACCAGCAAATTACAGCTATGCCTGCACATTTCTGAGAATATTTGGATCTATAAGAATTATACTTATTGTTTTGTGCAACTTTGGCATAACTCAAATACAGAAGTGAAATATCATATTAGAAAAAATAAAAAGCTTTTTTTTTAGAGCTTTGAAGCTATTAGGCTCTGCTATGTAAAACTTGGCACACACTAAGAAATAAACCTTTCCCTGATAGATGGTAACAGCTCCTTTGTTTCTCCAACTCCCACTTGATGGAAGGATTATGCTCTCAATCAACAGTAATGGCCCCACTAAGACAAACCAATATATCATCTCTAACTCCACACACAGCACTGACTCCACGTGCCAAAACCTGCATACTAGGCAAGCAAACATTGGAATTAAATAAACACTTCAGGTTCCTCTCTGCAGACCCCAATGACCCACAGTGTGAATATTTATATTTAATTATACTTATATCTAGCCCAAAAAACCAGACCATAGTGATACTGGACCATACTGCCACCCCAGGACACATATACAACCCAATACCTCAACAAGAATATATTTCCTGAGTAAAATCTGTAGCTACAGAATGTTTCTCTCTCTTTTCAAGACATTCTGTACTAGAATCCCAGAATAGCCACAGACCAAGGGGGAAAAAAAAAGGAAGGAAACGTTGACCTATTTAATAGGGAATAAGCCAAGACATTGAAAACTAACACATGACCAACATTATCCATAGAAATCCTCATGTCTTATCTAGATAGATCAAATGCAGAACATGTTACACAGAATCTTCAGGGGTGTCTAGGGAAGAAAATTTATTTCTGTACTTTTTAATGAACCTGTAACAAATTTTCAAAGAGTTTATGAAGGAATAGTTGGGAGAAAAAGAGAGAAAATTAGAATGGAGAATAGTCTTCATTGCTACATTTTCAAGGGGTCTATTCCAAAAATTAACTGAGAGAAAAATGTGGAAATGCAAGTAGACTCACTGCACCATATCTAATCTTACATAACATCAAATTCCTTAGCCCAGGAAAACCATGTAAGCAGCCTTCACAGATCTCCATCTTTGTTCTCCATTGTTCCCTGAATAAGAGAATCCCTAAGAAAATCTATAGTATAACCACAATAAAGAATACACTCAACAATATTGCAGGACTTGGCAGTGTGTGGAATTAGCCATAATCATTCCTGCATCACATAAAATACCTGCTGTAGATTTCTTCTTTGCAGAATACAAAGAAATTAGTCCAAATAGTCATGATATTTATTGATAACCACAAATACTTGAAGTTCTCACTTTTCTCATGTGCACTCAGTGAGTTCCTCAGAGCTGGAACAAATTGTTTTCACAAGTATCAGTACTTTGAAACCATTTCTGCAAACTCAGACAAATGCTAGTTCAAGTTTCTGACTGCCCAAGGTAAACAGCTTACAGTTTCTGCTCTGTTGCATAAAAGAAATAATTATAAGGCACCTGTAAAGCCTAATACAGCCTGAGTTCTTTATGATGCAAGTGCTCATTACCTCTTTAAGAATTCAAAGTCAACCATGATATTCTTGAACATCCTTAACATACTCGTACTTTCTAGCAAAGCAAGTCTAAATTATCCTGTTCAACAGAGTGAAAACTTCATGATTTACTCCATAACACCGGAGTGACATAAATGTTCTCCCTGCAGGGTGGCACAAGTTTCCATGGTAGTTGCAATATATCCAGACTGAGAAAGAAATGCAATTTTAAAATAAATAAACATGCAAATTAATAAAAGTTATCTCAAGCTGAAGAACTCTGATTATTTAGCCTTCCTCCCAAGGCATAAGTTTGATCCCAATAACATCAGTACATGAGTCCAGGCAATGATCTGCCTTTATCTAAAGTCAGTCATGTTTGCCATGACTACAAACAAAGCTACAACAAGGCCATGCTTCAAAAAAAAAGGTCCATAAATCCAAAAGGTTCTTTCTGTGTCTCTTGTTATCTCAGAAGGCTTTGCATCAGCTGGCATTCCATGGTATTCCTCCTGGTTTCTACTCCAAGTTCTGGTGAATATGCAAGCAAAAAAGCCAAGGCCTTGCATACTAAGGATTTTGTTTTTTCCTTGTCTCTCTCCTCATTCATTTCAGGTTATATTCAGGGTATGTTGGGACTTGCTATGTTACACAGATCATTGTAAAATCAAGTGTTACATTTTGCAATTAAGCAGATTATAATCTTGGTTTGGTATCTTTTTGAAACCGTAAGTGGAAAAAAAAAAATTATGTAACATGATTGCCTGGGTTTAAGAAATAGGTGGCTTCCTGGAGTAAAATAAACCCAGAGCTTAAATGCTTTAGGCAAATTAGTAGGACAAAATTGTAGATACAGTTCCTCCTCTGAGTTCTGCAGATAGTCTGAAAAGACTTTTTCAAAAAGGTCAAACATTTCATTATAGAAACACAATAAACTGACTACAGAATACTAAAAATAATACTGCCTTATATAGTTAGGCTGTAAGCGTGTTCTGATGTGCTATCACCTTTAACTGGAGACCAAATGTCTAGAAACCACTTAAAGGAACAAAGTAAAGAATCAGAAGATTTTCAACAATTTTTTCACATGAACTTTCCAGTTCTGAAGGGATGGGAGGATATTACACTGACCTGGTAGAGATTGCAGCCCCAACAAGAAACCCTCATCCTTCCCTCACTGCTCAGGGCTGGCTAAGAAATAACTCTGTGCCCCCTTTTCTCCTACCCACAGTTCTCTTTAAGAAACACAAGTGGTTTTAAATACAATGTACTTTTCTTCCTCTGCACTTAAAGCTCCTGAAGATAGATCACCATAACAAGTTTGTGATACAAAGTTTGGGAACCCCTTTTAGCCACTTAGAAATTTCCCAGAAGTAATGTTTCAGAAGGTGAAATTATTCAGGTCTCCTGCTGTCTAGAAAAAGACCAGCATCAAGCATTGGGTCACCTCTCTGTCCCACAGTAAAATCGCCTGTAATGTTACCCTCAAATTAGGCCAAGGGCTTTATTCTACATTATGAAAAACCTCCTGTACATCACACAAGTCATTCAGTTTCAGAAAAAGAAATGTTTGCCAATTCATCCAGTGAAACATCTCTGAGAACTCAAGCATGACACTGAGGAACTAAATATTTCAGTAGTACAATGTTATTAAAACAACTTCCCAAGTGTTATTTTCAAATGCATGGTTACAGCTACATCAAGAGCTCTAAAATCACACCTGTATTTAGAAAAATGTTTACTTGGAACTTCTTCAAGAATAATGGAAAGTTTGCTTCAAACAACAAACTTGCAAATTCACAAATACTTGACAAAATCACATTTATTTTGGATCACTTTTGCATCATGTGCTACTATGTTTTAGTGCCTTTTGTCGTTCTTTATAAGCCCCTGTGAGTGCTAGACCAAATTCCACGTGCTTAACCAATTAAGATGCAAGTTAGGATAAAAAGTTCAAAATTTGACCCCAAAAATTCCCAAGTAATAAAACTGAATGTTAGTAAAGTTTAATCTAAGTCAGGAACAGCTTTTTCTAAAGTATGAATCAGACTTGTCCAATTTTCTCCACACATCATTAGTCTCCCAGGGGATGTAAGCGAAACACAGACAGCAACACGTCAAATTACTACGTTCTGAACAAGTTCAGTACTTGAGGACAGTCAGTTCTAAATAAGAGAGACAAACACCTTGGAAAAATTAAACTCCTAAAATCATCGACTCTTTCATCACCATCCAAAAAAAATATCAGGCTAGGAAAAAAAAGAGGTAAATTTTGAACATGCACAGAAGCAAACCCCTATATTTTTGTTTTCAATGGCAAGCGCAGGGCTGAGGTTATTATTACTGATTATAATTGGTTTTCAGCCCGGCACACAAGGAGG